GCCGCAAGTTAGAGCCCCAGGTGCTGCAACATCTGTCTGATGACGGCTAACGAGTCCGAAACGGCCATCACAGTCTCCCGTTTCATTTTTGGTAGTAAGCTTCTAATGAATTTTTGTTTGGGCGTTGTTAATAAACCGCATGACGGCCGCCTAGCCTGAGATCGTGCTGCCAAAGCAATGAGCCTCACATTCGAAGCGGATTTGAGAATTTCCCGTCGCCGCCGCCTTAGCGACCGACCAGACATTTGCAGATAACTAAGTCTGAAGCCCTCCGCCCCAGTCAGCAACCGTTGTGCGACAGGGGGAGGCTAGCAGTGTTTTCTATGAAAGTTCACCATGCCACGACTTGAGGAGTACTCCTATTTACGACCGCCTCCGTTTCGAATGGGAAACCTAAACTTCAGCCAAGAAAAGCCACAGTCCAGAGATCGGATCCTCTCCTTCTCTAGCCTGGTGTTGTGATTCGGCCAATCAGCTCAGCAGCCAGACTGGAATCCCCCTGGGCAATACTCAACAGATTTTAAGACTTCACTTATTGAGAAGAAGACGACTCGATCGCTGGGAAAATACTTTTATTCACCTGACGTTTCAACATCCGTCGCGGATTCGTCATCAGAGACATAGTCAGAGAGAAAAAGCAGATCGGGTCTATTTCACTTAGTGTTGCACGAGTTTCGTGCTAATCACTGATGTGAGGGAGAAAACCTGTTCAACGAATTTCCAGTTATGACGCTTACGTTCTTTTTGTTCTGTTCAGTGCCTCCGGCGCCATCTTTCCGCGCAGAGGAGTGTCTGGCAGAGGGCAACATCATGACTCTGGTCTGGCAAGCTTGCCCCGGCTTCGGCATCGATCATTACACTCTGGAGCTAGACGACGGCGCAGCTGGACCCTTCCGGGTAAGCTTGGACCACTCAACTGGTTTCGCACTTCAACACAACCGTTGTTTCTTTTAACTTCATGCTTAATATCCCGACAGCGTGGGGGAGGGGGTTCTATGGGACTCCTTGCTATGACCAAGGACGTACACTTTCAGTGCTAGTGGCGAGAAGCTCTGTGATTTAAATTCGAATTTGTTGTTCCTGCTAGGAGTCCTGTCTGCACGTATTCCGACTTACAACGGTCCGCATCGGAGCACTCATATAGCATATTTACTTAAACAGGGAGTCCACGTAGCTAAGCATGTTAATTATATGAATGTGAGAGGGTGCTTAGCGAGAGATGGATAGCAATATGTTTACCATTAGCAGGTTGCAAATCATTTCTGACGAGAAAATATCGTTAAACCAGATGATACCTTGAAAACTGTCCAATCAATTGCGCGAACCCAGATAGGATTTACTTGGTGTCAGCGGATGGCTTAATTTTATTCAGAGGCCGGGAAAGAAAAAGCTAGAGAGAGTAAGAAAGAAAGCGAGAGAGCGAGTGAGTGAGGAACAGCCCTCTCGCAGCCTTAAGGCATGATGTCCAGTGGAGACGCTCTCTGAGTACTTCTGAATTCCTCAACGTTTAAAGGTAAACTGTAGACATGGAGTTCCTACAGCGCAGCATTTCAGAAGCCAAAGTTCAGCGGCCGCTAGATGTTATGCCTCCCCTTTCATCCGCCGGAGTGAGATATAGTTGCATGATAATTCATCTGACCGCAGACAATGCATTGTCTTTTGCAATTTCAGTTGCCCCAAGGCCTGCCGGTAAGTTTCAGATGAGGAATGGCTTGCATCCCGTCACACAGCCCGCGTCACGCAGAGGAAACAGTTATGTGTAAGGTTTACAATGGCACAGGAGCTAGGTTAATCCTCCTCATCTCCCGCAACTGAAGAAAAAAATCGTAGCGAAGGCGGGTCTCTACAATATTTAGGACACTGTACACTCACGTAGAGAACGCGTATGAGGGAAAACATTGCATAAGTAATGGAAGATTGATGACGTCATCGGCTGTATTAGGCCCCTACATAGCCCCTTGACAGTGGGCGTGTTAGACGAAACTACTACTCAAGCAATAATTTACCAACTCATGGGCTGGTGCAGAAGGAAAGAGCGGGAACTAGGGAGGAACTACAATCTTGACAAAAACTTGTTTGCCTGGAGGCATCTTTGTTGACTCATGCTGGGGTGCGGCCAACTAACAACCTGCACCAGCGCAGTGCGTATGTGGACAGGAGCAAGGGTTAATTAAACGCCCTAACATACTGCGGTCTGTAATTTAAACAGCGAGAGCTCTTTTGAAAGGAAACTATCGAAAATTCTAAGGGGGGGGGGAGAGCATACTCGTACGCAGTTTGAAAGCATTTTTTCCGAGGCACATTCGATCTCGCATCATCTCGAATTTTCCCTGACTGAGCTACGGTGGCCACGCCTACCGGCTAAGCGAGGTAACCTGTACTCTGTCATTGGCTCACTTGAATACTGTCCACCGTAATCAGAAAGAACCGGTTTCGAAATTACAACCCGGATGACTTTGGTACTTTGACCAGCCAGACCACAACGGTAAAGTGATAATGCTTGACCCCTCATATTCAGTGGCTTTACTTACTAATTACAAAGATAACTTTTGCGCTTATATCCGGATGTTTGACTTTGTTTGCAGAAAGTTTACCGCGGTCTCGAAACGATGTGCACCGTGGAGGGGCTCCACTTCCATTCCATCTACAGGGCACGCGTGAGGGCCCATAATCGCTCCGGCTACAGCAACTACAGTGACAGGCTTGTCATTCAAACGTCCATCTGTAAGTAGAGAAACCGTTTGTCCTTAAATCACCCGAGAGACCTAATCGTCTTTTCGTCGTCCTAAGACTTTGGTAAAAATTAGTAGTCATTAATGGATGAAGGCTCACCAATCGCCTACGGGAATAACTCGTCCCGTAATGCCTTGGGCTTACACTCGAGCCCCACCAGTAACCGCACGGGGCAGACTGGAATAGTCATTTTTGGATTATTTGCCGTCATCAGCCAGCCATACGCAACCCCAAGGGTTGCATCCTCGAATGCTCGACCCCACATCCTGTTGCCCTAGCGGTTCAACACTCACCATTGTCAATTTCCGCTGGGAAGATTGATATAAGTGGATGAGTGCTCATCGATCGGTAACGGGACGTACTTGTCCCGTACTGTTGACATGACAATGAGCACGTAGCTCAATAGTTAGATAGTTGAACTTCTGACCAAGAGGTCGTAGCTTCGAGCCCTGGGTGATGCATCACCTAGAGCTGGACTGATGCCGAAATGTAGGCAAAAAACGGCCATTCCTATCTCCATTGTCTTTGTCGGTAAGGTTATTCGGCCTATAGTAGATACTACCAAAAGTAGAAAAAGCCCCCCACCGGGAGATGTTTACTGGGTGTCTGAACTTTCGGGTAGTAATTTTGTCCACCCATTTTCAGAGAACGAAAACTCGGACTACTAGGACACTCAATAGAACTCTCCCAGTGAAAGTCTCTTCTGCTTTTGACCTCTTACCTCGTAATCACAACTTCATTGCTATTATAGGG